TAATAAAAAGGAAAAAATAGGCAGTCCACTCTCTCAAAGAGAGTGAATGCACTCTCTGTGCCAACTCAGTTATTTATTTCATTTTAAATAGTCCAAGGGGTGTGATAAGACACCCGTAAAATTAGAGTGTGTAGTTGAGATTTCGGGTATAGGTTGAAGTGGTTTTCGACCATTTTCTCAAAAAAATATTCATATTAATTAACAAGAAGGCATAGCAGCACCGTTTTAAAATTTTAATAACTGCTATATAAAAAAATTGTTTTCATTCTTTTATTAGAGTTTATCATTTTAAATATTTAAGTATAATTTAAAGTACGAGTTATTTTTATATTTGCATATTTCAACTTCTTTCCATGCAATCAATTAAGAGAACAATAAGAATTTTAACTCTTAACTCATAGTGTTAGTGATATGATTTAGTTGGTTTATTTTAAAAAGTTATATTATATCGATACAATTTTAAAATCACATTATTTTTAAGTTACTTACATGATGCTGGCATGCCTTCTTTTTCCTTGATATCTAATGGAGATCTTTTTTTTTGTACATTTAAGTTTTTTTATATTGTCCTCTAGTTAAGCATTCCAATTAGAAACAATATAGACTTTTAAAAGTTTTTTTTAAAATTTACTTTTAAATAATCTTGTGGGACCCTTCAGTCCACATGTCAATTAATCAACTATCTCACATAAGTAATGTTGATTATGGGACTCACAAAAAAAAAATTCTCGTTCATAACTTCTTTAGTTTTCTTCACATCCAGAGAAGATGAGAGAGAGCAAAGAGTAGCAGTTTCTAGCATTTCTCCTTTTGGAACAATATTTGCACTTTTATTGCTGTTTTTTTTTATGTGTAAGTTGGGTTTGGGCCGCCTGTTGATGTGAGACCAAAATACATATTTTTAATCATTATTTGCCTCACATTTATTATTTATATTTGTCCTTTTTGAATATAGAATTTATGAATTGTACTTAATAGTATATTTTATTTGTAGGATTAAATTGATGTGAAGATAAAGGAATTTGGAGCTAAAACGAATTAAAGATGAAAGATTGAAGAAGGAAATTAAGCAGACAGCTGAATAGATTAAATTGAATATATTAATATTATATATTATATAAAAGTTGCAAAGAATCAGAGTTGAATTGAAATCATGCATGGCCACGTGTCAACATTTGAAGACACGCAACATTGAAGCGGCGGAAAGACGCACGGAACTGTTCACGCAGAATCTTTTAGGTTTTTGGGTTCCTAATTTGTTTTGGATTCGATTATTTTATTCAGCTTTTTTATATCTATAAATAGTTCATACGAATAAATTATGGAAAAATTGTATATAATAGCAAATTATTAATTTAAATTAAATGTTATAAACATAGTTTGATTTAATTGTACCCTATAGCAAACTATTTCTATTTTCGCCTCTCCCTGGTGGAATCTCGCTCGCCCCTCTCGTTTTGGTGGCAGTCTCGTTCGCCTCTCTCGCTTTTATACAAACACAAATGTATAAAATGTGTTTGTGTTTGTATAAAGCGAGATGCAACTGTATATATACATATATTTTCATTCCCCTCTCCCAGATCTCACTCGCCACTCTCACTCGCCTCTCTCACTTTATACAAACACAAATATATACATTGCGTTTGTGTTTGTATAAAGCGAGAGAAAATTGTATATACAATACAAATGCATGTATTTTCGTCCTATACACTTATGATTATACAAATACAATCTTTCCCTGCCCAATTTTCCTTTGTCTTTCTCTCTTTCTCGCTTTATACAAAAACAAATTATACAATTGATCTTTTGTGTATGTATACCGAAATAGATTATACAACTGCTTTCTTTTGTATATGTATAGCGAATTATGTATAGTGAAATATACATATTTATGTTTGCTATGGAGCGCAATTATGCAAACTATAACTATAAATTATTAAGGGAGGAGGATACAATGTAGAAATTAACTTTTAATTTAGGGTTTCATCTTTTCTTCTCTTTTATTTATTTTACATCTTTTCTTTGAATGATTCATTGTAATTGCTCTATGTCTATGCGGAGTTAAACTTCTCGTTCTTGGATTATATTTACTTACAATATGATTGTTTGGTGATTTTAATTCGGCATAATTTCTTTATCATATTAGTTGTTCTTATATTCTTGTTTTTCGTATTTCGTGCCTGATCACCATTGAAATAAACACATTGTCTGAATTGAACTCGGGAGAGGAATAAGAGGATAGAACGTGGAATATAAAGAGCATGATCTTTTCTTGCATGTCACTTGAATTGATTTGTGTCTAGGATATGGATATACCTAGGTGTCTTGCTTGGCTCAAATACGGGAAGACAACTTAATGCTCCATAGTTTATCCAGTCTATCCCCGCTCAACGATGTAGTTAGCTGTCAATTGTGGTAGATGGTTAGAGGTCGGGATATCATGACTATATTATCAACCCCGTGAATCAACAACTAAATAATCAAATAAGTTGATGAAATTGATGTTAAACATGATTGTTAGTTAAATCATAATCCTAGATCGATTCATTCATTGATTGCGAAAACATCTATCTTTTCTTAGTTAATTGATTTTTAGTTATTTTATCTTTATTTTTAGTTTAGCTAATATATATTCATCTTTGAAATCCTCCCCCTTAAATAAATAATTAGAATTAGTATAATTTAGTAAATAGTTAATCGACAAGTCTTTTGGGTTCGATAATCCGATTCTTTTAAGAGTCACTATATTAGTTGTGCGACCACGTACATTTGCGTGTGAAATTGAAAGCAACACTTGTTCGGGCCAAATCCTTTTCTTGATTTGCTTTATTGGGTTGTTGTGGCCATTTTATATGTTATTATGAATAATTATGTATTTCTACTTCCTTTTTATATTAGTTGATCATTTTTCTTTTTACACGCTTATTAAGAAATCATAAATAAAAATATAATTTTACTAATTTAGTCCTTAAAAAATTTCTTGGAAATTTTACAATAAAATGTGAACACTTTCATAAAAAAAATAAAATTACAACAGTGATAAAGAGGAAAAATTTAATTAATCCTTTCTTGATTTAGAGGTGGACAACTAAGAATCTGTTTGTCGTTGTTGTTAGGAGGCCAGAAGTGCTTTTTTTGAGAAAAAAACACTTATTTTGAAAAATTAAGTGTTTGACAAATTCTTAAAATTGCTTTTAAATGGAAGCATGAGCAGTTTTTCTACTGTTAGGAAGAAGCTAATTTTTTGCTTAAAAAAAAGAAGCAAAAGTAGAAAATCAATTTTTTAAGACTAAAATATCCCTTACATATATATATATATATATATCCCTTATTAATTGATTAACATATCTCATAAGTTTGACCCTTTTAAAATCAGCAATGCCAAACATGCTCTAAGATGAGACACTTATTTTTAGTAAGATGATCAACTAATATGAGATGGAGGGAGTATTGCAATGGAAAAGAATAAAAAAATATTCTTAAAATACACGAACTTGAACAAAAATACCCACATTAACAATTTGGTTTTAAAAATGCACTTGTTGTAATACTTTGGTCTAAAAATGGCCTTGTCATTAATTCTTTGATCCAAAAATATAAATATTGTTACTTTGGGGTAAAAAATGTCTCTTTTCCGAATACACATATTGTTTATTTTTCCTTTTAAACACATTATTTTCCTAATCAATATAAGACATATATATAAGATCATAATAACCTCATCACTAATTTTTGTTTAGATAATAATTTTTAAAAATTCTAATAAAATAGAAAATATTATTATTTTTTAATCTTTCTTGAATTGAAATAGGATAAACATTTCCTAAATATTCATTGATTTTAAGTTAATATAAAAAAATTATCAACAATAACTCCATTGATGATATTTTGTTTATTTGAAGCAATGTAATAAAGTTTATATTTTATGGCATTATTGTTGAACTTTAAAATCAATGATCATACTAGCAAATGTGTTTTCTTTTTCAATTTGAAAATATTGAGAAATAAAAAAATTTCTTGTTTTATTAGGAAAATGAATTTATCGTTATTCAAATGAAAAATAATGATAGATTATTATGATCTTTTCTATGAAAATTAATGATGAATTATAATATTTTATCAGAAAAAGAATGTGTAAATAAAAAAAACTATGTTTTTATTAGGAAAAGACATTTTAATCCAAAAATAGAAATAAGGATATTTTTGGACAAAATTATTAGGGGGCTGTTCGAACCAAAACATTGAAAAAGAAGAAGATAATTTTGAACCAAGATGATATTTATTGACCGTTTTTTCCGTCTGTTATTCCATTGTTAAGTCTGTTCTAGCGTATACCAACTTATACCAAAAGTCCATTATAGCACAACAATGTCTTACCAAAAGTGTTCCCTTTGTTTGTCATCATCTTCCCATTACACAAATTCTTAAACCTAAATAGAGCAAAATTCCACAAGCGACAGTTTCTGGCGATGATTCTTTTGAAGCTGCTCTTTACATCGCCATCAATTTCGACATTGAAGTTTCTCTTCAGGTCAATTCATGTAGTTAATTTAGGTGGAAACCCAAAAAAAGAACAAAGGAGAACTTAAGAATAATGAAAATTAGAACTATAAAGCAATGAAGAACAAGAAAGAAGAGATAACTTTATTTGATAATACAGTCTTTTCTCACTGCCTAAGACTTACACTTATAATAAAGAACTAACTTCATGGTCCTTAAAATCAGCAACACATTTGCTGAAGATAAACAAACTCCTAGAGACTAGGTAAATAAGTTTTTTGAGGAAAACTAAAGCTAATTTATTGCAGTAAATAAAGAAAAGGCAGCAGTCCTAAAACACAACAACTAACACTCCTCCTTGGTTTAGGAACTGCTGATTCCTAGTTTTTCTCTGAAAAACTCAAACTTGCCGAGGGAAAGGGGATAGGTGAAAATGTCAGCAACCTGCTCATCACTCTTGAAGTAAAGAAGCTTCACATCTCCATGTTTCTGCACGTCTCTTAAGAAAAACAACTTAATATTGAAATGCTTCGTTTTTGCATGAAAATTGGATTATTAGCAATAGAAATTGCAGCTTGGTTATCAATAAAAACCTCAGTCCCTTCTTTTTGCTCAATATTCAGATCACACATAATTTTCCTCAACCATAGTGCTTGATTCACAACAGCTATTGCAACAATAAATTCTGCCTTGGCTGTTGATTGTGCTACTATATCTTGTTTTTTGGAATACCAAGAGAAAGCTCCTGACCCAATATTGAAACAGAAACCTGAAGTACTCTTCATATCAGGTGCACCACTCCAATCACTATTGGAGAATCTGTTAAGTCTAAACTTCTGACTTTTGTGAAACTTAACACCATAGTTGATAGTTCCCTTGATGTATCTGACAATTCTTTTAGCTGCTCTCAAGTGTAAATCACTTGCACAATGCATGAACCGAGACAAAAAACTCACTGCATACATAATATCATGCCTAGTTGCAGTCAAATACATCAAGCAGCCAATAAGACTTCTATAATATGCCTCATCCACCTTTTCAGTTCCATCATCTTCAGAAAATATTTCCTTTTGGTTCATTGGAGTACTCATAACTTTGTAGTCTTCCATATGAAACTTCTTTAGGATTTATTTAGCATATTTTCTCTAGCAAATGAACACATTGTCTTCATTTTGTTTGATCTCCACTCCAAGAAAGTACGCCATCAGTCCAAGGTCTGTCATTTCAAAGACCTTCATCATTTCCAACTTGAAGTCCTCAATTAGGCAAACCATACTTCCTGTGACAAAGAGATCGTCAACATACAAAGAAATAATAAGTATGTCTGCACCTGAACACTTAATACAAAGTGTAGACTCAGATAGGCTCTTCTTGAAGCCTAAACTGAGAAAATGATCGTCAATCTTGCTATACCAAGTTCTTGGTGCTTGCTTTAAACCATATAGAGCTTTCTTTAGCAAATAAACCTTATTTTCTTGCCCCTTGACAACAAACCCATCTGGCTTCTCAATATAAATCTCCTCCTGGAGAAGACCATTGAGAAAGGCTGACTTAACATCAAGTTGATAAACTCTCCAACTAGTAACAATCTGATTGTGTCAAGTCGAGCAACTGGTACGAAAGTTTCTGAGTAGTCTACTCTAAAGATCTGAGCGTAACCTTTCACTACAAGCCTCACTTTGTGTTTGTTAATGGAACCATTAGCATTTAGCTTTGTTCTGAAGACCCATTTTACACCAATAATCTTTCTGTCTAGAGGTTTCTCAACAAGTACCCATGTCTGATTTTTTTCGATCATCATTATCTCCTCCTTCATTGTTGCCACCTATTTGTCATCCCCTTCTGCTTCCTCATAGCTTGCGGGCTCACAAATTGCAGTATTGCATCTCTGATAGATATCAGAGATCAACCGCGTGCCTCTAACATGAGGATCATCTACTAGATCTTTTGGATCTAATAGACTGTCAACTGGTGGATTGTTTTCAGGCTTTTCCCAGTTCCAGTGCTGGTCCTTAATGAAGTGGACATCTTTACTTACGACAATTTTCTCTGTTTGAGGTTCATAGACCTTATATGCTTTGGAGAAAACACTGTAGCCTATAAAGATGCCAAGAACTGCCTTCTTATCAAGCTTATCTCTTTTAACCTGTGGTATATAAGAGAAACACAAGCAACCAAAAATTCTGAGAAATTGCAATGAGGGTTTATGACCATACCATGCTTCATATTGTGTTTTATCCTTTACAGATCTAAAAAGAAGTCTGCTTTGCAAAAAAAAATAGCAGTGTTGGCAGCCTCCGCCCAGAACCTTTTTGATAGATGTTTCTCATGTAGCATGCACCTAGTCATCTCCATTATAGTTCTGTTTTTCCGCTCACTAACTCCATTTTGTTATGGAGTATAAGGGACTGTTAGCTGATGTTCTATACCAGCTTTGTCACAGAGTAATTTGAACTGATTTGAAGTGTACTCCTTCCCATTATCAGACCTTAAAGTCTGAATTTTACAGCCACTTTGACTTTCCACTTTTGCCTTAGAATTCCAAAACACATCAGCTACCTCAAACTTGAATTTTAAGAAAAAAATCCAGGTTAGTCTTGTTAGATCATCAATAAATACAATGTAATAAAGACTACCATTTAAATATAGTGTTCTATGAGGTCCACACAGGTCCGTTGAAGTTTTTTTTATGCTCTCCAAGTTGTTTTGGGAAAGGGCAGCCTGTTCTTCTTTCCAAGTAAACAAGCTTGGCAATCTGTCTACCGATTCTGCAATCTTGGTAGATCATTCACAAGTTCCTTTCTTTGCAAGAACATCATACCTTGATGATGAAAATGACCCATCCTTTTATGCCAAACTTCGGTAGAGTTGTCTGTCATAAGAAATGATGTCTGCTCTTCTTCCAAAGGATTGAGCGGGAAACACCTCCCCTCCATTTTGACCTTGAATATCTCATTGCCTGATTGATCTTCTATCACACAAGTTTTTTTTTTGAAGAACATATTGAATCCATTCTCCATTAATTGACCAACACTGAGAAGGTTTCGATGAAGGTCTGGAACATACAAAACATTTGAGATAAGCTTAGTTCTAGAGCCACTAGTAATGGCTATGGTGCCCTTGCCTTTCACAGCAAGACACTCACCATTTTCAATTCTAACTTTCTTTGTCTCAGTGTTCCACAATTCTTTGAACAACATCTTATTAGATGTTATGTGGTTAGAGCAACCACTATCAATTAACCAACTTTCACTTGAATCTAGGCTTGTGAAACAAGTTGCAACAAAAATGTGATCTTCTTCTCGATCAGCAACCTGAGCTTCAACTTCAGGCTACTAAATTTTGTCTTTACAAATTATAGCTTCATGACCCTGTTGATTGCACTTGCTGTATTTTGCATCAGGTCTCCTCCAACATTTGAAAGGAGGGTGACCTTTTTTTCACAATGCCGACAAGAAGGATAGCTAGCCTTCTTGCTTTTAGCAAAATTCTCACTATTTTGTCCTTGTATCTTCTTGTTCTGCTTCTTCTTGTTTCTTCCATCATCTTGATGTTTAACTAATAGGGCTCTTTCAACAACTCCTTCCTGTCTCATTACACGTCGTTGCTCTTGTGCTTGAAAAGCACTTAAGAGCTCTGCTAGTGTAATTTTGGACAAGTCCTTAGTATTTTCTAAGGTTGTAACAGTAGCCTAAAATATTTCAGGTACTGTTACAAGGATTTTCTCAACAATCCTTGAATTGTTAAAAGTGGAACCCAACAATCTGACTCGATTTGCTATATTAAGAAGTCGGTCAGAATACTCCTTTATGGTTTCACTTTCCTTCATCCTTTGCAGCTCAAACTCACGTACTAAATTTAGCACTTGCATCCCTCGAATTCTTTCATCTCCTTCATACTCAGTCTTGAGATAATCCCATACCTCTTTTGCTGACTTCAGGGACATAATACGAGAAAAAATGGTGGATGAAACTGTTGTATACAAGCATGCCTTTGCCTTTGATTTCATGGTTTTTATTTCCTTGTGATTTTTAATCTGCGCGATTGTGGGATTGTTTGGTAAGGGAACAATCTCGTAATCATCTTCTACAGATTCCCAGAGATCCAAAGCTTCTAGATATGTCTGCATTCTGACTGCCCAGATCTGATAACTTTCTCCATTAAAAGTTGGTGGTGCCATTGAAGAAAAGCTTGCTTCTCCGTCCATGGAATTCACTAAAACAGATTAATGAACACACACAAGTCCCTCAAGAATAAAAAGCTCTGATACCAATTGTAGTTAATTTAGGTGGAAACCCAGAAAAAGAACAAAGGAGAACTTAAGAATAATGAAAGATTAGAACTATAAAGCAATGAAGAACAAGAAAGAAGAGATAACTTTATTTGATAATACAATCTTTTCTCACTGCCTAAGACTTACACTTATAATAAAGAACTAACTTCATGGTCCTTAAAATCAGCAACACATCTGCTGAAGATAAACAAACTCCTAGAGACTAGGTAAAGAAGTTATTTAAGAAAAACTAAAGCTAATTTACTACAGTAAATAAAGAAAAGGCTGCAGTCCTAAAACATAGCAACTAACACTTCAATTCTCACTTCTCTTCAATTTACTTCTTTTTTGTCACAGAAAGCCTAAATATCTACAGCCTACTCCTAAATTTAAACATTTGAAGGCATTTGGGATTAGAAAGCAGATACAACTTAGAAAGAAAAAAATAGAGCGTCTTCTGTGAGGATCAGTGCAGATATTCGAAGAATAAAGGGTAGATTAATTGAGGATGTTCCCAAATTGCAAAGATTGGTTGTGAAGAAGGTGTGTTCATTTTGTTATCCTTCATAATTTGGTCAATTGGGCTTTACTGATATGCATTCTTGAAGAGGTTAAGTACATGTTTTTTGGCCTAATATTTTACTTTCTAAATATTCAGTATGTTGTAATACAATGTAGATCTAGGATATATAGAAAGAAAACATTATTGAGGTTTGCGCATTACTCTACTAATTTTTTCTCTGATGAATTTCTGTTTTGGGTTTATTGAACTCAATTGTAGCTCAAGAGGTGGGGAGATTGATAAGCAAGCATATATTAGTAGAAAGAGGCATATTTGGGTTTTGAGACGTTAGACACAGATCCCCTCACTATTCTACTCAAGCAATAAATCAATGTATTGTGGACCACCAGACGAAATTACATGGAAAGTTCATTTCTTGAAGTAGAACCTAAGAAGAGTTTTTATGAGTTATGTTAATCTTGTTGTTGTCATACTTGCTTACTTTACCTTTAGCTCCGTGAAGGGTAACTTTCTGTTTTATTATCAGTATTAAAGGGTTGTTACTTGTTAGCTCGACAAAAATAGTACGATAACCTTAGAGTATGTGTAACAAACTAATTGACAGAAACAAAAATTGGGACATAATTTTCTGATTTTCTATTAATTTGAGAAACACCAACTACAATGAAGGAAAAATAACCAATCTAACTAATGTAGTCGTAACGAATAGAATGAGTTGTACAACATGAAAGCATAAAGAGAATATGAGGGGCTCCCTGGACTGCATCACTCACTATCCTCACTCTCGGTGCCCTCACTGTCATCAACATCATCATCCTCAGACAACTGTGCCGGAACATCATTACTCTCATCCGGTCTTAATGAGGAAATCAGATCATTAGACTTAAGGACCTTTTAAATCCCTTTCACCCCCTTCCACACTCGGGTGAAAATTTTATCTCTTTTCTTCTCTCTTCTTCATCTTTTCGTGGGAGCGACTCAACTCACCATGTGATTTAGCAAGATCAGTGTACGCCTTCTCCAACCTCAATAGATGAGCTTTTTGCTTCCTTTGATCCTCCAAGAAAGCATCCAACTCCTGTTGTGGGACAAAGAATTAGGTCCCGCAGATGTCTCACCTGGCCCTTGAGGCAGCTTGGTCGCCAACTCTCGGACTACCCTCAACTCTTCGGCCAATGACTCAAATGGTCTCACCGCCGATGGTCTAGAAGAGCCATCCTCAATACTCAACGCCTTCCCTGAATCCATCTTTCACTTCTTGCTTTTGGTGGCAGTCACTTCACCTCGCTTCTTTAAAGGAAAGATTGGGATTT